AATACTGGTCCTCAAGTTCAAGTTCTAAACTTTGCCAGAGCAATTTTGATGGAATTAGACAGGAGCTTGCAGGGGTTGATTGGAGTAGTTGGTTTGCAGGCAAAGGAATCTCCGGCAAACGGGAAGCCTTTGAAAGTGTGATAGCTAGAGTTCAAAGTCTATATGTTCCTGTGAGGGTGAAGGACAAGGTTGCCAGGAGCAGGGAACCCTGAATGACAAGAGATATTGAGGCTTTGACCAGAAAAAAGGAGGCATGGCTCAGGTACAGGCAGCTAGGATCAAGGGAATTCCCTGGAGGTATAGGGGACACAGGAGTTTACTGAAGAAGGAAATCAAGAGGGCGAAAAGACGCACAAGATAGCTTTGGTTGAGAAGATTAAGGTGAATCCAAAGAGATTCTTTAAGCATATTAAAGGAAAAAGAATAACTAGAGAGAGAGAATAGGACCCCTCAAGGACCAAAATGGACATGTATGTGTGGAACCGCAGGAGATGGGCAAGGTCCTCAATGAATATTTCTCCTGTGTTTACTGTGGAGAAAGACATGAAGACTTGGGAACTTGGAGAAGTTAGTGGCGATATTTTGGGGATAGTCCATATTACAGTAGAGGTGGTGTTGGAAGTAATAAAATGTATGAAGGTGGATAAATCTCCTGGTCCTGATTAGATATGTCCAAGAACCCCGCAAGAGGTTAGGGAAGAAATTGTCGGGGTCCCTGGCTGATATATTTGCATAACCGTTCGCCACGGCTCGGGTCCTAGAAGAGTGGACAGTAGCGAATGTTGTGCTGTTATTGAAGAAGGGCTGCAAAGAAAATCCGGGGAACCATAGACCAGTAAGCTTAACATCTATTGTAGATAAATTACTTGCGAAGATTCTGTGGGATAAGATGTACATGCATTTGGAAAGACAGGGTTTGATTAGGAGTAGTCAGCATGGCTTCATGAATGGGAGATCATACATCACAAATTTGTAAGAGTTCTTTGGCAAAATGACCAGGAAGGTTGATGAGGGTAGGGCGGTAGACATAGTCTGTATGGGTTTCAGTCAGGCCCTTGATAAGGTTCCACAGGGTAGGCTGCTCTGTAAGGTTAGATCACATGGAGTCCAGGGAGAGCTGGCAAATTGGATACACAATTGGCTTGATGGTAGGCTGCAGAGAGTAATAGTGGAAGGGTGTTTATTGGACTGGGGGCTTGTGACTAGTGGTGTGCCTCAAGGATCAGAGCTGGGTCCATTGCTGTTTGTTATCTATATCAATGATTTGGATGAGAATGTATAAGGCATAATTAGTAAGTTTGCAGATGACACCAAAATAGGTGATATCATGGACCGTGAGGAAAGTTATTAGAAATTGCAGCAGGATTTTGATCAGCTTGGGAAGTGGGCTGAGTAATGGCAAATGGAGTTTCATATAGCTAAGTGTGAGGTGTTGCATTTTAAGCCAAATCAAGGTAGGAGTTTCATGGTGAATGGTAGGGTCTTAAGGAGTGTAGTAGAACAGAACCTTGGAGTTCAGGTGCATGGTTCTATGAAAGTGGAGTCACAGGCAGACAGGACAGTGAAAAAGGCTTTTGACACACTGGCCTTCATCAGTCAGGGCATTCAGTATAGAAGTTCGAATGGTATGTTGCTGTTGTACGAGACTTTGGTGAAGTCACACTTAGAGTATTGTGTTCAGTTTTGGTCACCATCTATAGGAAGGATGTTATTAAACTTGAAAAAGTGAAGAAGACATTTACAAAGGATGCTGCCAGGACTCAAGGACTGAGTTACAGGGAGAGGGTGGACAAACGAGGACATTTTCTTCACAGCATAGGAGACCGAGAGGCGAACTTATAGAAGTGTATAAGATCATGACAGTATGGATACGGTGAATGCCCTCAGTTATTTTCCCAGGGTTGCAGAATCGGGGACTAGAGAGCATCAACTTAAGCTAAGTAGGGAAAGAATACATGGAAACCTGAGCGGCAATTTTATTTTACATGGAGGGTGGTACAAATATGGAATGAGCTACCAGTGGAAGTGGTTGAGGAGGGTACATTAGCAACATTTAAAAGTCACTTGGACAAATACATGGATAGGAAAGGTTTTGGGCCAAGTGCAGGGAAATGGGGTTAGTGTGGATGGACATTTTGGTCGGTACGGACCAGTTTGAGCCAAAGGGCTGTCTCCGTGCTGTAGGACTCTATGACTCCTGATCATTTACACAATAAAAAGAGCAGTGGCCCCAACATTGCTTGCAGGGGGGAACTCAGAAGATAATGGCTGCACATTTCACCGTATTCTTAAAAAACAAAATTCGTTTGTACTACTCTCTGCTTTTATCCCATGGCACCTGTAATCCCACAGGCTTGAGTTTTGCTAACAAATCTAATACGTGGTCCTCTTTATTCATTCATGCCTAATTGTCCATGAGGAGTGGTGGTGAGACACTTTCTTTAACCACTGCAGTTTATGTGGTATAGATTCGGTGCTTTGAAAGAAGGTCTACATGCACAACATCCTCCATCCCTGTAACTTCAAGAAAGAATCAACCTGATTAGTCAAGCACAACTTGCCTTCGACAAATCCATGCTGGTTTTTGTTAGTTGATATTTTTCTGAGTGCCAATTAATTTTGTCCCATTAATTGCCCACAAAGGATCTGAAAAAACAGACTGAGTTACCTTTTTCTACACTGATTACTGCCAGTGTTTTAATACAACCCCATTGTTGACTTTTATTCCCTTAAACATCCCTACTACCTTTGTTTTGACTGTGACATCATATCTAAAGAAGAGAATGTTGCCTAAGTACTCATTTATCATCTTAACTATGTCCTCTGTCTCATTACATAGTCCCCCACTTTTGGTCCCGAATCAGCCCAAACCTATGCCTATCTAACAACTATCCAGTTCAAATTCAAGTCAATAATAAACACAATGTTCTTTCACAATTAAAACATATTCCAAAAGGTGCAATGATAATGATGCCCACTTTCTATTCTGATAGGGAGTAACATTCAGTGTTTACATTACTCAGCCCAGGAAGTATTAATGATAACAATGTGTCACGTTCTTTCACAGAAAACAGACTCCACTTTCATTAAGCAAGAGGGTCGTGAGGCTATAAAACACATAACTGGAGTTAGTGATTAAAGCGGAAAGCACCTTAATGATTCAAAATAAGTTAAACAGGCGATTGAAGATGAGGGATCAATGGAATTTCAGGATAGAATAACTATATGGTTGCTTCTGTGCAGGATGGGTATTTTCTGATGAGCTGTTCTGAGATGTTATTATACAGACCTGGAGCAGATGGGACTTGAACACAGGTCTCCTGGCTCAGAGGTAAGAGCTTCTCCTTTGTGGGATACACACCACACATCAACTGGGAGAAACAACCTGTTTCAAACTCACAACATCTTTGTAACCATATGCATGTGGTTGGAATGCGACCCTCATTTGCTCGATCTGGTAACAAGAATCAGAAAAGCTGAGGCCCTTTTGTATGAAAGGGCTGGTGACAAATTGTCAGCATTAGTACTTCCTCATTAACACAACCACCGGATGTCACTTCTCGGCTATAGGAAAGGCATCTGCTCCAATTGTGTTCTTGAAATTCATTTAATTTGTTTAAGTACCTCTGTGTCTCTATGGATTGTAATATTTTCACACTTTGCCAGTGCACACTACTGCGAAATTGGAAACAGTTATCAGTGATACTTCATGCACAAGGCATGGCTTTGGCTTAGATGAAGCATGTGCTTATTTCTGAAGCAAAATACTGCACAGATTGGAAATCAGAACGAAGCTGATAATACGTAGCAGATCAGGCAGCATCTCCAGAGACACAATGGAATTAATGTCTCAAATAGATGACCTTTTGTCAGAAAGATTAAAAATGTGATAGATAATAAATGAAATGCAGGAAGATGGCACACAAACAAAAGGAAAGGTCTATTATGGGTGGAAGACAAGATAATTTAAAGAACATTGAGTTAGCGTTGCAAGACCAATGGGCAGGTCAAATAAAGAAATGTCCACATGAGGCATGAATGGCAGGAAGATCAGCAGTTGTCATCCAAAAGCAAAACAAGGCAACTTGAAAATTAAAACCAAACCTGCAGGCTGTGACTAGTGCTGCAAGGCTCAAATTAAAGGCCTTGGCCATTCGCAGGTCCATATTAATAACTTAGATAAAGAGAGAGGGAGCAATGTATTTAGGGTTTGCTGACGATACAAAAGTGGGACTGTAAGCTGTGAGAAAAATGCAAATATGCTGACCGAGTGAGATAAAGATGGGAAGTTATTACGGAAGTAGAAGTAGGCAGTTTTGTCGACAGAGAGGATGTGGGGTGGAAACCTCAGCCCAAGGTTAACCAATACTTCTCAATATTTAACTATAGGAAATTTCTATTTAAACTCAGGATACTAGAGAATTGGTCTGATGTCAAGATGGTGAAGGATGATCAAGGAAAGTAACAACCAGTTGGATGTGGATCTCATTAGGATACACAGAGAAGTCTGCATAGTATTTTTGTTGATGTCAGCAAAGAAAGGCAGTTCCATGCCAAAATAGAAAAGGGTAAGCAATTGATTCTTGAGAACTCCAGAAACAAGTGTAGGAATGAGAAGCCATTGCAGGAGATTCTCCAGTTGTGAGTGGGCCAAAGGTGGAACGAAATAGATGTAGTTTAATGGGAACAGGGTCAAGAAAGCAGGATGGGTTTTGTGGACATATGAACTAGAAAAGAGCACAACAAAGCACAAAACTAAATATTATGGGAGGTATTCGTGAGTGAACTCAGGAAATTAAAGTACCCTACTCTTACAGACTGGATAAAAAGCCAAGTCACACACAGTGCTCTAAAGCACTCTCAAGAGGGCATGACAAATACAGCTAAATGTTGTTTCTTTCATTTTGTACAATTTGAAATGAGAATATTATTGCAATGTGAAGACTGACCAAAATGTTCTCCCCATTATTGTTTTTAAATTGGCATGGATTGGATAGCACTACCAATTCAGACAGTGTACTCACATTCTTTTTAATTTTATTCCTGATTGTTTCAATTACACCTGCTTCACTACTTTCGCACAGCTTCTCAGTGTTTTTTAAATCATCACAAGCCAGCTGCATTTTTTCATCTTCAAAGGTCATCATAGCGTTCTGAAAAATTGATGTCAGAATTAATACGTGCAGCTAAAACAAATCAGTCAAATAAGCTCACGTTGTGCTAACACATATTGAATAACATACTTCAATTTAACATTAAACTATACAATAGTTGAATTGTTTAAGTAGAGTAATTCAACATTGTAACAATGTATGCTTGGGAGCTGGTTAGCTCAGTTGGCTGGATGGCTGTTTTGTAGACTAATGCCAACAGTGCGGATTCAGTTCTCATACCAGCCAAGGTCACCATGAAGTTCCTGCCTTCTCAACGCTGCCCCTTGCTTAACACGTGGTGACCCTCTGGTTAAGCTCGCCACTAGTTGTTTCTCTCTTGATAGCTCTATAGTCCTCTGCGACAATGGCAACTTAAGAAAAAGTAAGCTAATATCTTGTCCATTTCTTATGTAAAAACATTTCAACTTAATTCTGAAGTTTGTAAATAATACCTTTACTTTTGAAGTCTCAAACTAAAAAGACACTACCCACCCTTCCAGTTTGCAGCACAGTTTATTTAATAGACTGACATCTTTTCAGGTTAAAAATAAAGTTACATATTCAATCTATTCTTTTAACAGTCAAGATTTGAATACCTGAAAATTAATGGGATGGCCTTCTACGGTAATTTATTTAGAAGACTTTTACCATCAGGCAATCTTCCCAATTTCAGAGTCAAGCCTGGATAGTGAATATTTTCCCTGTCAGTTATGATTATATTCATTGTAGAGATTCTTTACAGATAGAAGCCATTTGCAAGTCAAAAATCAAATTCTCAGATTTTATTTGGAATATCAATTAATGTTAAATTTATAATTTATAGGGATTTGGACTCCAATGTGAGGAGCTTTTTCTTTAAAATTTATTCATAGGATGTGGGTGTCGCTGGCTGGGCCAGCATTTATTGCCCATCCCTAGGTGCCCTTGAAAAGGTGTTGGTGAGTTGCTTACTTGACCGTCCACAGTCCATGTGCTGTGGGCAGACCTACAAGTTTTCCTCTTCTTCCTATGGTGGTTAAAATGAAGCAACTTCGCTGGCCCAAACCAACTTCTAAAAGGCAGAAGATGTGAAACCCTACTCTGCAAGTTTTATGCCTTTTACCCATGAGGCAATTGAAAAGCTGCACTAATTTACAATGTTTTATTGGCTGCATCTTTTTTTCTATGCATCAAAATATGATGAACAGATTTTTAAAAAAAAGTGTTTATAAAAATGGCATTATTAACATTTGCTGGCCAAGTAAAAGGCTAACCTAATGGGAGCTGACACAAGCATGATGGGCTGAGTGATTTGTACTTTTTCTGTTCTACAGTCTATGAAAATTAAGCAGGTTAAGTCTACAACACAATGCAATAGTGCTTTTCCACTATTCTTTTACCTCAATGACATTATTCCAAACAAGATGATCTAAATCTCACGCAAATGGTGACTGGTATCTTGATTCCTACTTCATAAATTTTGCAACAATCAATTGTTTACATTGCATTAAGAAATAAATCTAAGGGCAACTATTCATCCAATCGAACAAATAGGAAATATAGAGGCCTTTATGTATCAATTTCCAGTATTTTGGACAAATAAAATACATTATCCATTAAAAGACAAGGAATGTACAAAGAGAACTAAGTCAGGACATTCCTTAAGAGACAAAATGCATGCCTCAAAAATAGACAGTCCTCACAATGTGAGAGATAATGCTTTCACTGAGTCAGCAAAGCTAGAAGATTAATGCTATCAATATTTTGAGCGACTGAAATTACAAATGAGATTGTAAAATCTGGCATACCAAAAGTGATGAATTTGTCAAAGTTTAGTGGATGCTACAGCTTGGTGTTGGCAGCATTTTGACAAATGTCCCTCTGCCCCTCCACCCACCACAACCAAATCTGCACAAGCCTCTTTGAATTTCATGAAATGTAAAATCTGCTATGAACCTACATAATCTGGCAGAGTTTAAAAACAATTTTTAATTCAGCTTTTAAAAAATCCCTCAATATATTTTAAGTGATCACTTGCTATTTTTGATCAAAATTGGGTTATCCCAGCATTTAGGCTTCTAAATCAGTGTCAAGCCCGAAGTTACAAGTTTTGATTTATAAAGTTCATTTTTAAATTACTTCACCATGAGAAAGATCACAGAAAGCACTCAACACTGCATAAAATCTGCAATACTCAATCTGCCTGCATATGCTTCTATCAGATGGACTTACAACCCTGTAACTGGGAGACCGATTCAAAATAACTCACCACAATGATTCAAGACAGTGCCAATGTAGAGATCCATAAAGACGTTTAGCCTTCCTTCAAACCAAGATTGATGAATGAAACCACTCTTTACCCAACGAGAAAAGCAGTGTCATATCATTTTAATAATCTGTATGACTAATATTTAAAAGAAACAAAAACAGAAGTTGTTGGAAAAACTCAGCAGGTCTGGCAGCATCTATGGAAAGAAAGCACAGCTAATGTTTCAATTCCAGTGACTCATCATTTTGGTATTACATTCATATTCTCATATTGTGATTGTTATGCAATATTTGATGTGGAAAAATGTCCAGTGCAGTTTTAGTCAGATCACATCTGGAACACTGCTTTCATTTATAGACATCAAAATAAATTAGGATTCCTTGGAGTTTGATCTGCAACTATTTAATTATTTAACTTACAGCAAAGAAAGAAATGTCTAAATTAGTGATGAGTTCTTACTTGCAGAGTTGCATGGACAAAAACATATACTCCAAATTTACTCACCAAGAAACTAACAAAGCTTGCTCCAAAGCTCATCAAAGGGCTGTTGTTCCTATAAAGAATGCATTAAAATTATATACAAATAAAATCTACTAGAATAGCAGCACTATATTCCATTCATACTTTATACCATTGCAAATGAAACAAAATACATCCGAATAATTAGTTTTAGAGAAATTTCAGTTATTAGAACTACTAAAAAAGCCTAAAATTACTGGTATAAATTTTACCAATAACAATAGGAAATGCTGGAGAAACTCAGCAGGTCCAGTATCATTGGCTGAGTTTCTCCAGCAATTTCTGTTTTGATTTCAGATTTCCAGCAGCCATAGTTTGCTTTTATATAAATTTTACCAAATATTTACACAATCAGATGTTATACAATAAATACAGTGTCATGTAATTAAGTGTTTACTTCTAAATGCCATTTTTGCAAAGCATAGTCATTAGCAAACAAATAATTCTCCCTTGATTAGGTGATTATTTAGCACCTCATCTCTATTCTGCCATTATCAAAATTACTGCCTGTCAGGGTGTTGGATACAAATTCAACGGTAGCCTTAAAAAGGAATTGAATATTTGAAGATGACAGAGTGTTAAGATGAATGAGGAAATTTTTTTTCATACAGAGATGGTTAGCCTGTGGAATTTGCTACCACTGTGAAGGCAGGGTCACTGAGTATATTCAAGACTTTAGAGATTTAAAGACTTTGGTAAGAAGCAGCAGCAAGAATATAGTGTTGAGATAGAGGATCAGCCTTGATCAAATTGAATGGAGGAGCAGACTGGAAGGGCCAAATGGCCTACTTCTGCTCCTGGTTTCTACGTTTCCTAGAATCTGAAGGGGAAAGAGCAGAGGAGAGAGACAAACTGGTTTGCTGCTCAAAATAGAGTACAATCAATGGTCTGAACAGCCTCCTTCAATGCTGCACTATTTTAAGGCTGAATTGTGATATAACTCCAACTCCACAGACACTAAGATGAAACTCATTTCCAAAGGTGTCAAGCTGCATTGCAACTTTCTCCATTGCTACTCTCCTCCACCTCTAAATTACTCATCAAAACGTTACTAGCACAAACTTTTGACATGCTCTACTATTTGTATAATAAAACAAAGCAGTACGAGTGCTGGAGTTCTGAAACAAATAAAAACAAATTGATGGAGAAACTCAGCAGGTCTGGAAGCATCTGTGAAGGAAAATAAAGTTAATGTTGAGTCTAGTCATCCTTTTTCAGAACTACAGTTGTGTTTAATTTCCTTGTCTGTGCAAATGAAACTGCACATCATCATTGTGTGGAGCTTGGGAGGTGGTGACATGGTCGTAATTTCACTGGACTAGTAATCTAGAACTTCAGGTTAATGTTCTGGGGGCACAGATTCAAATCCCACCATGGCTGATGGTGAAATCTGAAAGTAATGAGCAAAAACATCTGGAATTAAAAATGGTCAACTGTAGTAAAATTCCATTTGGTTTACTAATGTCCTTTAGAAAAGGGATTCTGCTGTACTCACCTGGTTTGGCCTACATGTGACTCCAGACATTCAGCAATGTGGTTGACTCTTAGCTGCCCACTGGACATTTAGGGATGGGCAATAAACAACACTGAACAAATAAATCACTCAAACAAATGTTTAAAAATTAGCTCAAGAGGCAGAGTTGACCTGCTTAATTTGCAGTGTAAGTGAGATCAATGCTTACAATGTCCAGTGAAGTTTTAGTCAGATCACATTTGGAACAATGTTTTGATTTTCAACATGATTTGGGGTTCCTTTGAGTTTGATATCTTGTTGATTTTATTCCAATGTGAGGGAAAAGAAAACTGGACAAGCAACATGCGCTATCCCCCCTACTAGTTACTTTTGAAAAACTATCAAATATCATCCATATCTGCTTTAAAGATTCAAAGTGCTACAAATCGTTCAAATCACAAGAGGATGATGATAGCAAATTTGAAATTTTAATTCCTGTTTGAGAATACAGGATTGAGAGATTTACAAATCTATTCTGATGAAAGATCATCAACCTGAAATGTTAACTGTGCTTCCCTCCATAGATGCTGCCGGAACTGCCGAGCTCTTCCATCAGTTTTGCTCTCATTTCAGATTTTCAGCATTGGTACGATTTTGCTTTTGTAACGCTTGTAATGTACGCAACAAAGTGAATGAACTAATAGTGCAAGTGGATACATATGATATGCTAGCCATTACAGAGATGTGGCCACAGGATGACAAGAGTTATGTGACATTTAAGAAGAATAAGAAGCTTGGTAAGTGTGGAGTATTTGCATGCATGGCTAATCAAAGATGGAATTGGTGCCGTAGTTAGTGATGACTGTTGTTCAGGAGATCAGGATGTATACAGTCTGTTTGGGTGGAGATGAGGAACAGTAGGGAAAAGAAGTTACTAGTGGGAGTGAGCTACAGGCTTCCAAACAGTAACCATAATATCAGCCACTTTTTACAAGTAGAAATATTGGTGCTTGTGATTGAGGGACAGCAATAATTATGGATGATATTAATCTACACTTAAACTAGAAAAATCATATTGGCAATAACCTGAATGAGAATTTCTTAGAATACTTTCAAGATAGTTTCTTGAGAGCATATTCTGCAATTGACCAGACGACAGTTGATCCGCTTTATAATTCAGTAAAGATGAGTGGCAGGTCAGATGACTGGAGAGAATATGAAGAATGGCAGAGAATGACTAAAAGGTTAATCTGACAAGTACATTGGAGCATAAGACGTAGCTAGCTAGAAATGTAAAGATAGCAAGATTATCAATAGGTATCTAAAATGGAAAAAAAAATAAACTCTGGAGGATGAGAATAGGGAGTTAATAGTAAACAAAGAAGAAATGACAGATGTAAAGACAAACAATATTAATTCGTTATAACAGTGGATAAAAAAACCCAATAATATCCATAAAAGCATAGATTGAAAGACATGTGCATAATTCATTAGCAACATATTAAAATGACCAAGCAACTGCTGTGATTCCATATAAACAGCCACATTTGAAAAAATATGTAAAGAAAGCTATTATTTTTTCTAGCATTTGAGGGGGGGGGGGGGGGGGATGATTGGGTGAAGTATTATTCTTAAACTCTGACACATTTACACCACAAGGTTTAATCAGAATAACTTGCATTGCATTCTCACAGTCATCATTTAGAGTAAAGTTTATGGGCTATAGTAGAACTGAGGAAAAAGGTTCCAGTTATTTGTTGGATTCAGCTAAGGGCAAAAGAACTGCTAGAAGCCACCAATCAAGTACTTTTGATAAGCAGACAATGCTGTAAAGTACAAAAAATATCAACCTACTTCCATACTGCAAGCACCAAAAAGCAGCAGTAAAACAAACCAAGTAGCACCATGAGATATATTTTCCTATTCGCCCTGTTCAGAGATGTTATCACACGCCTCTAGAGCAGGGGGGACTTGAACCCAGGCCTCTTGGTCCAGAGGTAAGGACATGGCTACAGCACAAGAGGGCCCTATGAGATCTATTAAGTTTGCTCAAAAGGACAAACATAAACACAAAGTCTTTGAGTTCTGCAGCCGAAGAACCAGGTTAGAGTAAGTGCTCAAGTCTCTGGAGTGATGATTTAAAACCACAAAGTACTGACTCAAAGACAAGAACACTGTTAGGAAGCAAAAACTGACATTTAACCTGGATCATTCATCCTTTCCGTACTGAGGGATTCAGGAAGAGGTGTCATTTTTAGTTCCCTTTTGATTTTGACAAAATTTAACAAATAATATTTTATTGTAAATCTTAAGAACTGGGGTGCTTACCATCGTGCAGTACTGTCTACAAAAGTGCTTGCTTAATACTCACCTTAAATTATAAATGAAAACTCCCCAATAAGATGTATTTATCAGAAAATGGCATCTTAGAACTTATTCTCCTCAAAGATATGTACAAAAATAGGCCAAATTTCATTCATACACTGAGACAAACGAAAACAGATGTTGATCTTGAGGAAAGAACATTGCTTCTACAGCAGATTAATGTGAAAAACATCAAGGCTCTTCTAAAGACATGGCAATAATTGTCCTCTTGGGAAAGGCACACCATTCCAAGCATATAGCTCAAATTTGACACTGGGGAAGGATTTTCATGGTCTGACAGGCACAGATGATCTTCCACTTAGTACACCACCAAGTGGAAGGCCAAATGGCTGCTTGTCTTTTGCTAACTCAGCTTATTAACAGGCAAATTTAGGACATGGATAAAAGGCTACATGGCATTAGCAACAACTGCTTTGAAGCAACTACAACAATCTCAAAACTGTTACATTGTAAAATGTAGACATTCAACAGCACAACAGGCTTACTTCAACAGCTCTGAAATGTAAACTCCTGAAAAGGACAAGGGTGGCTTTAACATCACCACCTACTAGTCACAGATCATTCCCACTCAAATATACAATCGATATTCCTTTCTTACGATTAGGGCCATGTTCTGGATTTCACTGTTGAGCAACACTGGAGATCAAGCTGTAACTGTTCAAAGCTCAGCACAGAAAAGAGCGAGCATTAAAAACAGCCTCTGAAGAAACAACCAAATGCCGAATTCAAGAACAGTGACTTAGTGGGCACATTATGTTTCATCAACATGCACACACGCGCTTACATATGACCCGCACCCCCATCTCCCCCCTCCACACCCCCACACACACACCCCCACCTCCACGTGTGAATTTGTATTTGCAGATACATTCTGTTTTGTTCAAAAAGCACACAATTTATAGATAGTCAGTCAGTCAGTCAGTCAATGTGGCATTTTGTAAATTCCTACTTCAGAAATAAAACCGGTCTGACTCCAAATCAAAACACAAACAGATTCTAAACAAGCACCTAACATGCATTGTTTGACCTAAATGCCACCTTTACACTGATAAAACCTTCAGTTCTCACAGGCCAGTGACTTGAAAGGAATTCAGAGATTTACATGTACCTATTAATGAATTAAAACCTTCTAACTGAATAAAGATTTAACAGCATCTTAGGTTTGTTTAGTACATCCTCATCAGTGATGTGATCCT